ACCTCCGTTGATCGGAAGATCTTGTACTCATGAAACTCGCACGAGATGCGGAAGGTCGCTTCGCGGAGGGCCCGAGTAGCCGGTGATTGCACATGTTTCCTGTAATGTGTTCCCCACGTCCGGTCGACCGGTAGAATCCAGGGGTCGTACTCGACCGAGAAAATCCTGTTCTTCCACCCTCGATTATTTCCGGGAAGGTTGGCGATCGAGCACAGATGGTCCCGGGATTGGATCATCAGATATCCGGCACCATATAGGGCCGACAAGGGCTTAACTATATAAATATAGTTGAAAAGCTCCATCGTACACATAGCATTGTGTCGAGCACAAATTTGCGGAAAGCACGCCAGTATACGATGTGCGTTCGGGCAAATTTAGGCTGGTAAGACCCGGTAATAGCCTAAAAAGGCGGTCAACAGGCCGGAAAAGGGAAAGGTGATCGGGGCTTGTAGAGAGTCAAAGTGCATCCCGATCCACTTCCCTTGGTGTCGTTCTTTGATTCCCCCAATGTGATACCCCATATTCTGGACAATATACGAGGACTGTATGTGCGTACGAAGCTAATCTTATTAAATTCTCCTATCCTTGTTACCTAATTTTATTCCTTTGGACTCCAAATCTGACCTTATATCATCCTAAATTCATGTTACGTTTAAATATTATATTGAGCCTACTAATTTTCTAAACTTAATAGATATATGCTATGTAATATACTTTATTATTATTATTATTATTATTATTATTATTATTATTATTATTATAAGTTATAAATTAATAAATTAATTAATGTGATACATATATATATATATATATATATATATATATATATATATATATATATATATATATATATGTACATTATATAATTACTTAACAAGGTATATATTATTATCTAGGGAAAATGACACTTTTTCCCCCTGAGTTATATACCTATAGCATTTTTTCCCCCTAAATTATTGAAGTGGCTGTTTTTCCCCCTGAAATGTTAAATGGACATATTTACCCTTGAACTAAATATTTAATTTATTTTTTTTCCAACAAATTATGACCATAATTTAGTTCAAACTAAACAAACACTATAGCAACCAAACCGAAATATTCCAATTACAATTTAGAATCGAAATTCGGTATTTAGAGTTTATTAAAATCGTGAACCGGAACGGACGGTTCATGTTCCGAACTGAAAAAATAAAATACATTTATTGTTGAATTTAGACTATTTTAAAATAAAAAATAAAATTTTAAAATAAAGACGGTTCAAAATCGCGAATCAGATCCGGAACCGCCGATTCACGGTTCAAGATTCAATTTTTTTGATACATAATTTTAATAAATTGACATTTAAATATTGGGTTCTAGATCTGAATTATAACCGTAAACTATTAATTCGATTGCTTTAGTATCCGGTTCAACTCAAACCGAACCGTGGTCATCCCTACGTATACGTACTAATTTGTTGGAGTAATAAAATAAATAAAATGTTTACTTTAAGGGTATAAATGTCAATTTAATATGTCAGGGGAAAAGGCACCACTTTTAGAATAATTGAGGGGCTAATGTGCTTACCTAAATAATTGAGGGGGAAAAAGTACTATAAGTATATAACTCAGGGGTAAAAAGTGTCATTTTCCCTATTATCTAATTTGAATGTATTACTATTATTACCTTAATTCATGGCCAATCCCTATCCATATATATTGAAGTTATCATAATCATATTCCTAACCCTATAAGTTAGAGACCCGGATGTGCTTCTATCTTCATCTCTCATTTTTTTTTTTTTTTCGGGCATCTCTCTCCCTCCTATATAGATACATGTATACAATATATATCCATACGCAGAGAATTACTCTATGATTTCTTCCCTCCTCTACACACATAGCCGACTCACTCTTCTTTTTCTCTCTTTCGGACGAACCCTGGTTTTTCCGACGATCGTCGATAGTAGATCGACGGCTATGGTTATAGGTGGTGGTCGGTGGTGTGATTAGAAGGGTTGACGGTAGAACTTTCCGGCAAAGAAGTTGATGATGATGAATGGTGAAGCGTAGGAAATGGTGAGGCTGGATGGCGTGAACCTGTAGATATGAATGATAAGGTTTGGTTTACTAGTTAATGGAATTATGAATTTTATGATGATGTTAATATTGATGGGTGATGATGGGATGATTAGGTTGCTGATAGGTTGATGATAAGGCTACTGATTTCATACGGCAATTATAATAGGAATAATAATAAATATAATATTGGCAATATTAAATTAGATTAGATTTGTTTGGTTCACAGGTTCACTATCAAGGTGGTTAGGATGTTTTGAGTGTTGATAAGAGTTTTGGGCTTCAAAGGTATGATTTATGTTCACTCAAAATCCTTTTATCCCAAAGTAAAAATTGACTTTTCGTAAGTGTTTGTGTGAAAACGTTTTCCTTAAAAATCTATTTTGTTATTTTTGATTAATTGCTATGTGATTAATGATCTTCGTGAAAATTATGTTCACTATGTAAATTCTTTGAATATATATATATATATATATATATATATATATATGTTGAATGATCCAAATTGTAATTCTATACGCAATTAGACCAAGCATTCTATGTTGTATGTTTTTATATATATTCCTACGTGCATATATGTTAGGTAGTGTGTATGTCTAATTTGGATGCAATATGCCTATAATTGCATGAGTATACATAATATGTATAAATTGGGTACTGGATATGTATTTAATATCTAATAATTATGTTAGTTAGATTTGTTTTAATTTGGACAAAGTGTATTCTGCACTTACATATGTGTATGTGTGTGTGACTATTACACTACGTATGGAGTACAATAATTAGGTGTGAAGTATTGGTACATTGTTTTTGGTTTAGTATTGGTGGGATGATTAGTATTGATGGATTATTTATATTTGTTTCATGGCATGTTAATTGTTATAATGGTTATAGATTCAGGTGTAAAGTTGAAAGTATTATTTGGGTGGAAAGATTTTACTTTAGGTGGTGAACTTTTGAGGTTTTAGATATATATATTTTGTCAATGGAAAGTGGTGCCATCTGGTGTTTTTGTGGAGTGAGCGGTTGGAATATACGGACTCACTAGCGTGGCGAAAAACTCTCTGTTTTGTGGAGTGAGCAGTTGAAATATACTGACTCACTAAGGGGTTTATATTAACTTCCTTGTTGTTTTGAGGGGTGAGCAGTGGCGTAAAAGCTGACTCACTAGGGAGCCGAGAAAACTCCCTGTTTATGAAAATCTATTTTTGAGAATTTGAAAATCCTCCATTTGGTACCCATTTCTTAATGGCAATTTATATATATCAACTTGTATATATATATATATATATATATATATATATATATATATATATATATATATATATATATTCTGAGATCATTTTGAGAGATTGAAATTATCTCTTTGGTTATTATTTTGAGAGTTTGGAAACTCTATTTGGTTATTATTGAAAATTATCTTTGGTGAATATATTATGATTTGAAGAAACTCTCAGTTGTGATGATGTTATGAAATGTTGATGATGGTATAAAATGTTTTGAGGATATGGTTATATGGAAATGTTGAGGTAATTGTTATGTGATGAATCTTGAGGACATAATAATTGTGGAATGATTTTGGATTAGAGATAGGCAATGCCTTAGTCGATTTGCTAGAAGTTGTTATGGATATTTTTGTACTTAATGTGTGGTTTTCTCAATATATATATTTTAAATGGTTAAAGTTAAAGATTATTGGCCTTGTTGGGAAGGTAAAATGTTTAAGGGGTATATTATGTGCAATTACATGCTCCTATGTGTTATGTGCTATGTGCAAATGTTTTACAGGGTGGAGTAAGTCTTACCAGCTGTTGTATGCTGAATTTGTTCCCTCTTTAGTTACTTTGCAAGTAATGTTGCATGAGTATTTGGAGCATGAGAGCAATTGACCTTCTTAGTTTGTGTTTAGAAGTTTTATACCTTTTTAAAAAAATTGAGAAGTTATATTTAGACAATTGTATTTAACGCTTTGAACTAGTATAAATTTTGGGTTGTTTTAGTAGTGTTGTTTTAGCCTGTGCGTTTGGATGAATGTTGTTATCTAAACGTGACGGTAGCATCCCTTGTTCCCTCATTTTGTTTTTAGCTTCCACAATTTAAAATGTGTTTTGTAATTAAACAAAAGAAAAAAATAATAAGAATGCAAGGTCTCACATCCTCACCGTGGTTTTCAACATTTTATATTCCTAACCAATTTTATTCCTATGGTCTCATAAACCTAGGTTCTATGGGTCAATGGCACAACCTAGGCTCACAAAGGTTCGTACAGCTCTGATACCAATTTGTAACACCCCCACCGGAGGATGAGGAAGCTAGCTCATCCGATCATCACTATATACAGCAGCCGGGTCAAACAGTTGACCTCAATCTCAATCTTTCACCTCCTCGATCGACAGCTCCCAACCCGATCAATTACATACAACCAATGTATCCGACACCCAGTCAACAATACCCGTTTCTAGCAAACTATCCATATCCAGTACTGCCTCCTCAATATGGTTGCTGACCCGGGACACCTATGTACTATCCACCGGCCAACTATCCGCCCTACATGCCTGCGTACACGGCTCCAGCTTCCCCTCCCCCGAACCAACCGACCATGCCGACCGAGCCCGAGCTTCAGCCCGGTCCCCGGGCTAGGCGCTCGGCTCGCTCGAGGTTGGAATCGCAGGGGGCCGAGGTCATGGAGGAACCACGGCAGGAAACACATGCCCAGGCGGCAGAAGAGGCCGAGCTAGAAGCCAATCGAGCAAGTGCGTTCGAGCGACTCCGACTAGCAATGCGGCAACGATTGGGACCGCAGGACCCAGATAGGCGCTCGGTTGATTCTCCCATGCGAGCGGCTAGCTAGGTAGGCTCGTCAGGACATAGCGGGCCTCAAGCGCATCGACGACGCCGGGCTCGGGAACCAGCCCGTACGGTCGAGCAAGACGAGACCCGAGGAATGTTGAACGACCTCCATGCAGAATTTACTCGGTGGCAGAACGAGCATGCATTGAGGCCTCCTTCCGATCATACCGCTTCTTTATTGCGGACACCCTTCACGGCGGAGATCATGGCTCAACCCTACCCACTCGACTTGCGAATCCCTGGAAACAAAGAATATGACGGCCGGACAGACCCGGAGGTCCACATCAACACTTATTATGGAAATATGCTGATGATGGACGTAACTGACGCTGTGATGTGCCGGGCCTTTTACTCGACGCTTTCTGATTGGGCGGCCGAGTGGCTCAGAACGTTACAACCAGGGTCCATTTCTGATTTCGCTAGCCTGGCAGAAAAATTCACTCGGAAGTTCGTAACTTCCAAAGTCATCCGGAAGCCTTACATGTATCTTGAGAAGGCTAAGCAACTAGAAGGAGAGAGCTTGACCGATTTCTTAGTCATGTGGAAAGCGGCGGTGGGAGAGGTCGAACCCATGGACAACCTAACGGCTATTCATATGTTACATATTTCCCTCAGAGCCGGTTATTTGTACCAGGATTTTATACTCCACCTGCCTACAACCTATGAAGAAGCGCTCCGTAGAGTGACGGATTATGCCAATGCGGGAGAGGAAAATGCCGTCAAACGCTCCCAAGAGGTCGGATCTTCCCGGAAACCCTCCGGACGGTCGGACAACCGGTCGGTCGAAGACTACCCCCGACCCAGAGCCCATCCGGGAGATTTCACGGCGTTGAACGGATCGGCCGCGGAAGCCATGCAATATGCCCAGTCCTGCAACCTCATTCGTCTACCTCATCCGGGACCGGATGAGAAGGATAAGTCGAAACATTGCGCTTATCATCAATGTGCTGGGCATGACACGGAGGAGTGCACACATCTGAAAAAATTGTTGGAAGACTTGCTCCAGCTGGGGAAGTTAGACAAGTGCGTAGGAAAGCGGGAAGAGAACAAAAGAGCATCTGAGAGGAAAGATCATAGACGCTCCAACCGCCCTGATCGATCGGACCAGGACCGGAGAGATCCCGATCCCCCGTCTGCCAGTCGACCATCATCGAAACCGACTATTCATGTTATATTCGGCGGCTTGGAAGATGTTTTCGAAGCTCGAGAGCTTTGCTCGGTCGCGATCGTTGACTCCCTGAGGAGCGGTAAAAGGAAAAAAACGGAGCCAATCACCTTTTCTCTTGAAGATCAACCCGAGAGCGGAGATACCGGGATGGAAGAGCTCGTTGTTACGATCGACATCATGGGAGTCGACGTACAATGGATGATGGTGGATACCGGGAGTAGCATAAATGTCCTTTATTTGGACGTTTTCAAAAAATTGAAACTTGATCAACAAGAACTGATTCCGGTTGGTGTGCACTTGTCGGGATTTACCGGGGATACCATTCGCACTGAAGGAAAAATCGTCCTCTCGGTCGAGCTGGGAACTCCGCCCAAATCTATCAAAACGCAAATGGAATTTGTTGTGGTGAATCTTCGTTGTGTCCACAATGTCATCCTAGGCCGCCTGACCATCATGAAGGTCCGGGGAATCATATCTATGCCTCACTTGTGCATGAAATTCCCTACCCCGGCTGGGGTCGGAGTTCTGCTCGGTGATGTTCAGTCGGCAAGGAAATGCTATACACGAGCGGTCAATTGGCGCGACGCAAGTTCTTCCCGGGTGAATACAATCGTCAAGGACGCCGTCAAGGACCGAAAAGAACAACCAGAGCCATCTGAAGAGATAGAGGAGGTTCCTTTGTCGGAAGACTGACCTGAGAGAAAGATACAGATCGGTCGGGCTCTGACCCCTGAACTTCGACTGGAAGTGTTAGCAATCCTCCGAGAATTTGCTGACATATTTGCTTGGGGGCCCGAAGATATGCCCGGGATCGACCGAACCGTCATTTGTCACCGGTTGGCCGTAGATCCCGCCGCTAAACCGATCAAATAGAAGACCAAACATTTGTCTTCCGATTGTCGAGAGTTTGTTCGTGAAGAGGTGAAGAAGATGGCTGCAATCGGGCACATTCGCCCGGTCACTTATCCCGAGCGGGTGGCCAATATAGTGCTAGTTCCTAAGCCTCCATCCTGGAGAATGTGTATTGACTTCACCAATCTGAACAAGGCGTGCCCGTTGGACCCTTATCCCCTACCAAGTATTCATCAGATGGTTGATGAAACGGCCGAGGCCAAGTTAATGAGCTTCATGGATGCTTTCAAGGGTTATCATCAGATCATGAAGACGAGAGCAAAATGGCTCACGCCTGATGGTCTATATTGTTACCGGGTTATGCCGTTCGGCCTATGAAATGCTGGGGCAACATATCAGCACATGATCAACATGCTCTTTGAGGACTTGCTAGGCCGAACAATGGAGGCTTATATTGATGACATGCTGGTGAAAAGTCGGGACCAAGCGGGCTACACTCGGGATCTTCGACAGTGTTTCTAGATCATGCGAACGTACCAGCTGCGTTTGAACCCGAGCAAGTGCACATTTGCTGTGCAGACCGAAAAATTTCTCAGTTATATTTTGACGAAGAGAGGGATTGAGCCAAATCCCGCCAAAGTCAAAGCAATTCTTGACATGCAACCGCCCACAACTGCTCGGGAGGTGCAATAGTTAACCGAGAGATTGACAGCCTTGAGCAGGTTTCTCTCAAATTTGGCCGAACGTGCTTTACCGTTCTTTAATGGTTTCGTGTGGGACGATGAATGCCGATCAGCTTTTGATGATTTGAAGGAGTATTTAATGTCCCCGATCGTGTTGTCAAAACCCGAGCCTAGGGAGGAGCTGGACATTTACTTGGCCGTATCTGATCGGGCGGTTAGTGCCGTGTTATGTCAGACGGATCCGGAGGGTGTTCAACGACCGGTTTATTACGTAAGTCATGCGTTGCACGGTCCTGAACTCCGCTATTCTCGACTGGAAAAGATTGTCTATGCTTTGTATACAACGACGAAGAAGTTGGCTCATTACTTCCAAGGACGAGTCATCCATGTTCTAACCGACCAGCCGATTGGAGCAGTTCTCCGCACCGCTTCTTCTTCTGGACGCCTAGTCAAATGGGCGTTGATGTTGACGCAATATGCTATCGAATACCAACCGCGACCAGCTATTAAGGGCCATGCATTGGCCAAATTTTTGGTCGAGTGTACCGCTCGGGATACTCAACCTCCAGATGTAGAAGATCCCGAGGCGGCATTGTGGTCATTGGCCACTGATGGGTCGAGTAGTAAAAAGGGAGCGGGCGGGGGAGTCGTGATCACAAGCCCGGAGGGATTTAAAGTTTATTATGCTTTAATGTATCAGTTTACCCCGACCAATAATGAAGCAGAGTACGAGGATGTTCGTCAACGGCCTACAATGCTCTCGGGATTTGGGGGCTGATTATATCCAGGCCCAGACTGATTCAGTGTTGGTGGTCGAGCTAGTCCTTGGCGAATATGAAGTCAATTGAGAACGGTTGCAAGCTTACCGTGACCTGGCAATGGAGAAATTGAATTTATTCCGGGCATATACTGTCCGCCATGTTCCCCGATTGGATAATGCTGATGCAGATATCCTATCGAAGCTAGCACAAGACGCACCTGAGCATATGTCTAAGATTGCTTGGATTTTGATGATTCCGAGACATAGCATTCACCGTTTGTTGGTCGTTCCTATTCAACCGGCTGAGGAAACATGGATCTCCGACTTAATGGAATACTTGCAGCATGACCGTTTACCGGACGATCCGCAGCGAGCTCGGAAGGCGAAGTTAAGGGCGCCAAGATTCCAAGTGCAAGAGGGACGGTTATACAGACGATCATATGGCGGTCCTTTGCTGAGATGTCTGAACTCTTTTGAAGCGGACCTGGTCATGAACGAGTTACACTCGGGCATCTGGTCGTCACACCAAGGAGTTTGATCGCTTGCTCGACGTATCATGGTGATCGGGTATTATTGGCCATCCATTCAGCTAGATTGTGAAAAGCTTGCCAGAAGTTGTGAAACATGTCAACTGTATGCTCGGATGCCTGGTCGTCCGGCAACCTTTTATCAGCCGGTCACGACTGCCATCCCGTTCGCTCGATGGGGGGTGGATATCCTAGGGCCTTTTCCACAGTTGTCCGGTCGGAGGCGCTTTGTTATAGTTGCAATCGACTATTTATCAAAATGGTTTGAGGCCAAGCATCTGGCCACGATTACCTCTCAGCAATGTGCCAGATTTTTATGGCGGAACGTCATCTATCGGTTTGGGGTTCCCGTTCACTTGATAAGTGATAACGGTCGACAATTTGTAAGCCAATACTTTCAGAACTTCTTGGCAACGATCGGGATAATTTCGATCCAATCATCAGTGTCTTTCCCGCAGGGAAACGGCCAAGTGGAAAATGCCAATCAAACCATCTTGGAAGGATTGAAGAAGAAGCTGCACTCGGCTTGTCGTAGTTGGGCCGAGGAGTTTCCCTATGTGCTTTGGACATATCGCACGACCCCTAGAGAGGCAACGATGGAGACACCATTTTCTCTAGTCTATGGCGCTGAGGCGCGCCTACCGATCGAGGCATGGATCCCGATGGCTAGAGAACGGTCCTTCAATGTAGAAGAGAATGAACATTCTATGGCTGTGGATCTAGATGGTGTGGAGGAGAAGAGAGAAATTGCGGCTAGACGCATGGCCGAATATCAAAAAAGAGTGAAGACTACTAAAGACGTGCGGGTTCATCTGCGATACTTCCAGGTTGGAGATTATGTGCTGCGACGACGAGAAGCAAGTCAACCCCTAGAAGGAGGCAAATTAGCTCAGAATTGGGAGGGACAATATGTAATCACATCGGTCGTTCGCCCGGGCACCTACCGATAGGAAAAAACGACCGGGAGAGTGATCGATGACACATGGAATTATGAGAATTTGGTTTTATTTCGACATTAATGTCATTGTGTAACTTCGGATGGGGTGGGGGCTCCACCTGCGAGTGGGCACGCTCATCTTTTGTTGTATATGTAAAATATGTATCAATATGTCCGTCTGCGAACGGGAATAAATTTTGTAATGTCGATCGATGATTGCTCGCTCGTCTGTGCACAACGGCTCAACCGACTGTCAATATATGTACATAGCAAGTAGTACGGTTGAATCCATTTCGGGATTTTTTTTGATCGTGATTTACCTTATCAAGATTCAGCATCAACGATCGAGTCGGGCGAAAGCCCAACGACCACAATGTCGCTAAAACTTGCCCGATTATACCGGGATAAAAAAATTTCGGCTATAGCTGATACAGGTACACACCCCTCACTCGGCACCAACTGCTAGGGGTAAAAACCTAACGGATTATAAAATCCTCTACATCTCATCTGGGCGGATTGTAACGTCCGGAATTAAACGCTCATCTTCGGCGGACGGTCGGGTCACGCCATCGATCGGGAACACAGAGCATCAGACACATGCCCAATCAGCCTACCTTCTCAACCACTGTTGCACTCACTCATACCTCATGTGCATGGCAGTGTGGGGGCTAGGGTTAGGATAACGGCCAACATTGGTCGAATACAAACTCGAACGAAAAGGTCGAGCAAAAAACAACAAAAGTTTGCATATGCGTAAAAACGTAAAATGCAAAAGCATAAAAGATAAGAAAAACGATATGTTCATTCAAGATTAAAAGAGTTGTCCGATACAAACGGGACCCGGCTCCCGACTGAGTTAAGTTTAACAAAAACTTGAAAAGAAATTTACAAGATCGGTCGGAAACTACACGACCTTTCCTTCTTCCTTGTCACTGGCGCTTAGTTCGACTGCGGCCTCGGAGGCAGACGGCTCGGTGAAGGGCATCATGCCTGGATCGGGAATTTCATCCGGGAGAGCAGTCAGCACCGCCTTCAGGTCGTCACCATCGAAGACCTCTTCCATGATTGAACGAGTCTCTTCCCGCATGGCCCGTTGGCCGGACTTATAGGCCCAATGGCCAAACAACCACACCTTTTCCTCCCTGAGCTTGTTCTTCATCAGCTCTCGGAAGAACTTGTCGGTCGTAGGCTCGTCATGGCAGAGGAACATCGCTAACCCTCCCAGATTGCCCAACCGGGTCTTCAGCTCATCCGCTTCCCTTAGCGCAACCCGAGCGGCCTTCTCAGCGATCGCTTGGGCCTCTTTGGCCGCCTTCAGATCTTCTTGTAGCTCGGCATTCTCCTTCCCGCACCGCTCGGCGACCTTCTTCAGAGCCTCGGCCTCGTTGGCCAGCAAGGCCCGGTATTGGAGGCTTTGGATCACTCGGGATACCTACAAAATTAACACGTTAGCTCGAGCGACTAAAGTTGTGAAAATAAAACTTGAGAAGGTAATAAAACGAACCTCGATCAGATCTTGGGCACCCCTCTCGGCTATTTGCGCTGGTGTCCATTTGCTCCTATCTACGTCCTTCACGGACGCCTTTTCTTTGCCTTTTCGCCCGGGAGCTCGAGGGGCTAGCGGGTCGCTCGTGATATCGCTGGGAAGAGTGCTGGAGGCGCCGACCGGTTGCACGGTAGGGACAGAGATGCCGACGACCTCTTGCCCGGTGGATGTCTCAAGTTCAGCGGCCTTCTTTCCGAGCGTCATCTTAGCTCGGGGGGGCTCGGGGTGCACTGGCACTCGGGAAACCACGCGTGGGACCCATTTCTGCAATCAAAAAGAACAAGGTTAAAAACAACAATCAATCGGCGAGATATGGTCGAGAAAGAGTAGTTAATGTTAGACCTTCGCCGGTTGGCTCGGCTTGTGGCGCCGCTACAGCGATCGATAT